TTGATCTGTATAGACAGAAGAATTCTAGGTCATGTGAACAGCAACCTAGATTGAATCGCCAGAATACAGAGTCGTGGCCTCTCAATCAATTCCCAGACTTGAGTCAGTTTACAGACCCACAACCCCTTGAATGAAGGGGAGGCTGGGTCCCCTTAAGAAAGGATGCCGCTACATTGCCCAAAATTTATAATGTCAGTCTTTTTCCCAGCCTTCCCCAAAGGGATCTGAGGCTTTTTATGAGAGTGACTGCTAATTGGGGAAAAGGAAATAATTAGACTTTTCTGGGATTACTGGACACTTACTCTGATCTGACACTAATTCCAGGAGACCCAAAGCGTCATTGTGGCCCACCAGTCAAGAGTGGGGGCATATGGAGGTCAAGCTATTGATGGAGTCTTAGGTCAGGTGTATCTTATAGTGGGTGCAGTGGGTCCCTTAATCCATCCTGTAGTGATTTCCCCAGTTCTAGAATGCATAACTGGAATAGATATACTGAGCAATTTGCAGAATTCCCACATTGGGTCCCTGACATGTCGAGTATGGTAGGAAAAGCCAAGTGGAAGCCATTAGAACTGCCTCTACTTACAAAAATAGTAAACCAAAAGCAATACTGTATCCCTGGAGGGGCTGCAGAGATTACTGCCCTCATCAAAGACTTGAAGGATGCAGGGGTGGTGATTCCCACAGCATCCCCATTTAATTCGTCTATTCGACCTGTGCAAAAAGCAGATGGATCTTAGAGAATCACAGTGGATTATCATAAACTTACTCAGGTGGTGACTCCAATTGCAGCTGCTGTTCCTGATGTAGTTTCATCACTTGAGCACATTAGTACATCTCCTGGTACTTGGTATGCAGCTATTGATCTGGCCAATGCCTTTTTCTCAATACCAATTTCAAAGGATAATACCAATTTCAAATTCAATACCAATTTCATCAGAAGCAGTTTACCTTCAGCTGGCAAGGCCAACAGTATACTTTCCCAGTCTTCCTCAGGGTTATATCAACTCCCCAGCACTATGTCATAATTTAGTCCATGTTGTTGTTGTTGTTGTTATGTGCCATTGAGTCAGACCAGACTCATAGCGACCCCTCCTTGGGTTTCCAAGGCAGTATCACTACAGAAGTAGATTACCCAACCTTCCTTCTGAGGAGTGGCTGGTGGGTTTGAACCGCCAGCCTTCTGGTTAGCAGTCAAGTGCTTTAGGCACTATACTACCAGAGCTCCCATTTAGTCCATAGGCATCATGATCTCCTTTCCCTTCCATAAGACATCACACTAGTCCATTATATCGATGACATTATGCTGATTGGACATAGTAAGGAAGAAGTATCGAGACTCTAGACTTATTGGTGAGACATCTGCATGCTAGAGGGTGGGAAATTAACCCAATAAAAATGCAGGCACCTTTCACCTCAGTGAAATTTCTAGAGGTCCAATGGTGTGGAGCATGTTGACATATTCCTACTAAAGTGAAGGATAAGTTACTGTATCTGGCTTAGGCACTATGCCAACAGAGCTCCCAGCTATGAATGCATAGGGAGTGTATAAAATGTTTGCTATGGGAGCAGACTCCACTGCATGGGCTTTCTATAGCAATGTGCGATTTGCATTAGGCTTGTGACAGTGTCTGGGTGAGGGAAGTGCTGGCAGACTCCATAGGGACCCTGGGAAGCCTGCCTTGTTGATGTTAGAGCAGAAGATTGAAGTACTGTCTCTTTGTACAGGGAGTGGTGGTTAGGGAAACAGTCTCTCTGTGTGGGACCACTTACCCAATTCACAGTATCTGGTGGCCCATGTGTCTGTCTGAAGGGAAGGGCAGGAATGATGGGAGAAACAATTTTTCTACTGTACGTAGCTCGTTGTTGATTCGTTGATTCTTGCCTGTCTGTAGTTCCTTGCTACTTTCCTCTGTTCCCTGATTCAGAGTTCTTCAAAGCCAAACACCGTTGCCTTGTATTTCTTGCTGTATTTGTGGGGGAGGATCAAAATGGTGGTTTGTTTATGCCCAGAATTCCCAAAGAAAATAAAATTTTATTTTTAATAATTTAAATACCCACTGGCAGCTACTGTATTGGAAAGTGCTACTCTAAAAGAAAACACAGACGTCTAGCTTTGTGACCTTGGAGTGGCAAGGTCATGATTCTCAAGGTCATGATAAACAGGACATGATTCTTGGCCAGCGCACCTCATGTACTGTAGGTCATGAGGCAGGCTGGAGACCTCTGTGGGCTCACTGGGTTCCAGGGCTTGGCGAATCCAAAATCTGCAGGGCAGCATGTATAGGGTTGGCAGACGATATATCTACATGTGTATTTGTAGGTGCTGTAAGAAAGTCTGGGTGTATAGTATAACTGCCGAAGGGGCAAGTTTGTGGTGGCTTCTTGACCACAGCCAGCTACCCTGAAGGAGTGAGTAGTTGGACCTGTGGGCTCAGGGCCATGGTTGCAGGGGACATCAAGGTCATTTGGCATAACATACTACACAAAAACATTGTTCTACATCCTACTTTGGTGAGTAGCCACTGGGATCTTAAAAGCTTGCAAGTGGCCATCTAGATGCAACAATGAGTTGATCCTCATCCAGAGCAAAGAAGAACAAAGAAAACCTAAGACCACGTGGAAACAATTAGTCCAAGGGACTGGTAGACCATGCATGTGATCCTCAGCCTATATGACCATGAGACCAGAAGAACTAGATGATGCCTGGCTACTGTCAACCACTCGGAGGGGGATCATTGCAGGAGATCTTGGATAGAGTTGGAGAACAATGTAGAAGAAAATGCAAAATCATAAAAAAAAAAAAAAAAAAAAAAAAAAAAAAAAGACTAGGTTTACTGGTGGTCTGATAGAGCCTGGTGAGATCCCTGGGGCCTGTGGCCTCTAGCTGCCCTTCAGCTCCGGAACTGAACTCACTCCTGTGGCTTCCAGCCAAACAACAGACAGGCATTTACATCAGGTAGATACTCCTTGGAGTGATCAATGGTGGGAGAATACAAGGGCAGCGTTTGCACAGGGAGACAGCTCACAGGGCAGGAGTGCACAGGAAAGAAGCACACAGGGAGGAGGTAACTATGGGGAGGAAGTGGGAAGAGAGCTGTTATATTGTGGGGAATTGTGGTCAGTGTCATGAGATGAGTGTGTATGAACTGCTGTATGGAAAATGAATTTGCTCTGTAAACTTTCACCCAAATCACAATAAAAATTGAAAAAAAAAAAATCTGCAGATCGGATGATAGGCCAGAGACTTCTGTGGCTTTTGTCCCAGGAAACTGTGAGTGGAGGGAGGATCTTGTTGCTATTGCACTGAACAGGTTTCAGCAGAGCTTCCAGACTAAGATGAACTGGGAAGAAAGGGCTGGAGATCTACTCCTGCAAATCAGCCAGTGAAAACCCTACGGATCACAATGGCTCAATCCAAGTGGATCACGGATATGGTGCAAGACTGAGCAGCGTTTCGTTCTGTTGTCCAGGGAGTCCCCGTGAGTCTGAGGCTGACTTGACAGCAGCAACAACTGGCGTTACACTGATAAGTTAGAAGCAGTGGCCCTGTCCTCCCCGCCCCTGTGGCTGCCTTTTTCTGGTTCAGCCTGTTGAGGTAAAATCCTGGGTCTGCCTTGTGTCTCTGCAGAACTGAGGACCCCACGTGGCTGATCAGCCTGGCCTGGATGCAAAGCAAGATTCCAGCAGTGCAGTGAGAAGACCTGGCAGCTGATGTGTGTAGGCATCATAGAGCCTTTGGTGCTGCAGACCGCAAGGACTGCTCCCTAGCCCCACCCACCAGGTCTTGTAGAGGCCCAAGGCCTAGGCCCACAGGGGAGGGTGTCAGCAGACAGATGCCCCCTAGGCCGTGGGGTGTCCTGAGTGGGCTGTTGGGTGGACGTGCGAAAGGCGGAGGATGCCGGCCAAGGGGCGCTACTTCCTCAATGAACGTGAGGGCGGCCCGGACCAGGATGCCCTCTATGAGAAGTATAGCCTCACCAGCCAGCATGGGCCACTGCTGCTCACGCTCCTGTTGGTGGCCATCACGGCCTGCTGTGCCCTCATCATCATTGTCTTCATTGACGGAGGGGTGAGTGAGGGTGCTGGTGGGTGGTTGGGGCTGCAAAGAGCTGCTCTGGGGCTCCAGTCCCAGCTCTGACACGTCATACTCATGAGACCTTGGGCAAGTCCTTGTTCTATCTAAGCCTCAGTTTCCTCACCTGAAAAATGCTATGGAGGATGTTTAGGCTGGTGGAAGACAGGATTTTAATTTTAATTTTGAAGATTGTGGTAGCTTTGGATATTATGTTACTTTGGTCAGATATGTTATACTCACGTTTCTTCACAATGAAATTAGGTGTTATTGAAGACCTCAGGAAGGGGTGGGCTGTGGATGCCCACTCTTCATGTCTGTATCACGGCAGACATCATTAATCGATTCCAGCAGTCCTTAGCACGGCTATCCAGGCAGCCGCTATCACTGCCGTCTCTGACCTAGACTTGCCTTGCTACAGGCAATGGCTACATGTTATTAGTGAGCGCTTGTCATGTGGCTGTTATGACTGAGAGATTGCATTTTTAAATTTTATTTTTAAGTCATGTAAATTTAATTTTAAATAGCCAAGTAGCAGCACATGACTAGTGGCTACTATCTCAGCACAGTTCTAGAAGGAAACACAGGAGATTGTAGGGTGTTTTGACATAGGTGATGTTTGTAGAGTAGCCGGTGCATAGTAGCTGCTCAGTTAGTGTTACCTGTATTGAAACCAGTTGACGTTGAGTCGATTCCAACTCGATGGTGACCCTGTGTGTGTCAGAGCGCGACTGTCCTCCATAGGGTTCACAGTGGCTGAACAGTGTTTGCAATTAGAAAGCCAGCCTTTCTTCCAAGGTGCTGCTGGGCGGGCTTAAACTCCCAGCCTTTCAGCTGGCAGCTGAGCCTGTTAAACAATTGTACCATCCACAGATGCGAAAACCATTAGCCTTCAAGGCTACTGCTCTGACTCATGGTGGATTCCCTGTGTGTCAGAGTAGCACTGTGCTCCCTAGGGTTTTCGATAGCTGACTTTCCAGTCGATTGCCAGGCCTGCCTTCTGAGACCCCTCTGGGTGGCCTCGAACCACCAACCTTTTGGTTGGCAGCCAGGCACATAGTTGTTTGCCCCACCCAGGGACTTCTGTGTCTGTGTGGGCATAAATTGCAGGACATTAGTTTCATCTCTCAACAAATCATTGTTGAGGCTCTCCAGGAGGAAACAGATGCTCCAGCAGCCAGGACCTGCTGGGTGCTGTCCCAGCCGCACAGCATTCTTTCCCATCTCCCCCACCTGTCACACCCCTGCACCTTTGCTTGAGTTCTTCCTCATCTGGGATGCCTTTTCTCATCATTTCCTCACAAACCTCAGTTTATCCTTTAAGAGTCAGGCATAATGTGCCCTCCCCCAGGAAGCTTTCCAGGGCTTCTTTGCCTGTGGATAAGTCCTTTCTCATGCTCCTGTAGCCTTGTCATACCTTTAACCTGCAAGTATGCACAGAACACCAAGGAAACCCAGAGGCAGAAGAGACTGGCTCTGTTTGATGTGGGAGGGTAGGCGAGGAGAAATAGCCTCACAGTGCTGGACTGTAAAGGAGACTTAACTTACCTGTTGCCATTGAATCGATTCCAACTCATGACACAGTAGAACTGCCCCATAGGGTTTCTAAGGCTGTAATCCTTATGGCAGCAGACTGCCACATCTTTCTCCTGCAGAGAGGCCAGTATGTTCAGACCACTGACCTTTTGGTTAGCAGCCAAATGCTTAACCATGACACCACCAAGGCTTCTTGAAGGAGGCTTAGAGTACCTGTGAAGGGGACTGGGGAACGTAGTGGCTAAGGCAGAGGCAGAGCCCAAACAAAGACCCTGGAGGTCAGGAGAACCTGGTGGTGGTGGGGGCATAGCCTCGCCCCCGTGGTGGGTACTGCAGTGGCCAGGGCTGCTCTCTGGCTGGGTGGGCGGTGCCCTCTGGCGAAGCCATGGCATTCGTGTCTGTCTACCCTGCCCAGGACCTCTCCAGTCACAAGGCTATCCTGGGCACAGCGTTCACCATGCTGGTAGTGTTTGTCGCCCTGTACCTGCTGGTGTATGTCGACTGCCTCGTGAGGTGGGGGCTCAGGGCCTTGGCGCTGTTCATCTGGGCTTGTCTCTTGACCCTGGGCTACGTGCTGCTGTACGACTCGTGGAAGAACAAGGCCTGTGCGTGGGAGCAGGTAACAGGATAGGCCCTGAGTGTCCCTATTCCTCTGGGAGCTGGGGTGCACTGAGGGCAGCTCCCGCCCTCACCGGGCATCAGGTCCCTTCTGGAGAAGGGGGCCTGCCTGCTCCCCATTGCCATGGTTTGAGACTTGGCATGGGACCAGGCTGATCTCATCCCTAATGATCAGCTACCAGCTTAGTAACTCCCACTGAACCAGCAACAGGCCCCAGTTGGAGTCTTGTGGCCTGGTTGGTCATGAGCCCAGTCTGGACACTATTGGTGAGGGATGGTCCACTCTGCCTGGTACACCTGGGCCATATGACTCCACACCATTTCTGGGATGGGATTGGCTCTTTGAAAGCATGTAGACTGAGAGTTCAGAGGAAGAGAGATTTCTTACTACAAAACTGGGGGCTGTTCCCAGAGGGGGCAAATTACAGGGTGGGTGGGAGTAGCACCTGGCTTCCCTGGCTGGCTCCCAGTGGGGTGGGCAGATGGGCTTCACTGCTGGAGATGGCAGGTGAGTGACCTCACCCAGGGTCCCCTCAGTAATTACTGTCCTGCTGAGGGAGGGCCATGTGGTGTGGGCACCTGCAGGGCTCCCTGGTCATGAAGGGTGTGGAGTCTGGCTCTTGGGGGACTCAGCCTTGGCCACGGAACCAAACCAGCATGTAGGAGACAGCGGATAGTGCCGGTGGGGCCAGACCCAGAGCACACTCTGTCTTTTTTTTCTTGTTCCGTTGCTTAGCTGGCGCTGGTGCTGGCTGTGTCTCACCCCATGGTGAGAGAGAACCTGAAGGTGGGGACACGGGGTAGGCGGGCCTTGGCATTCAGGTTTCTGGAGGCCATTCCCCTAGACCCTACTCTCAGCTTATCCTTGAGGTTGTGTCCTGGGGCTGGGGGCAGCTTGGCTGGGCACACCCCTGCATAGTGGCCAGTGGCCTGAGCCTGACGGTGGCCTGTCTCCAGGTGCCCTTCTTCCTGTTCGTCATCTTTGTGGTGTACACACTGCTGCCCTTCAGCATGTGGGGGGCCAGCGCAGTGGGGCTCGTCTCCACTGCCTCTCACCTCCTTGTGCTTGGCGTCGTCACAGGGACCAACACAATACCTACTGACCACACGGGGCTGAAGGTAAGAGGTGGGCTGGGGACTCCCGGGCAGGGGATGTGGTTTGGGGCTAAGCAGCCAGGGCTCTTGGGGTGAGTTGGGCCCCAGAGGCCTCAGAGCAGGATTTGGAGGCAGGCTGCAGTAAGCTACAGCCAAGACCCCCAAGTCTGCTGCTTGGGCAGCCAGCCCTCATCTTTTTTTGCTGGCCCAGGGCCTCCCAGAGACCTAGCCCTAGCCCTAGCCCTGACCCTACTTTCAGCTCAAGTGCCCTGCTGTGGGGTGAGGTCCCAAGGTTTCACCCCTCTGGGCAGGGCTGGGGTTCTCCCTGGGCATACTGTCCCCGAGTTTGTGTTGAATGAAGTCAGCCTTTTATTAACAACCAGTGGGGACGCATGTGTATTTTGCCCCTGACAGGCCTGTGTGCCCACTCCAGGGGGCAGGTGGGCGCTGTGCCCTCTGTGAGTGCCCTTGGTGTTACTTGGGGCCATGGGCTGTCTGCGGTGGTGTCCGCTCTGTCTCTCTCGTGTCTGGTGCTGCAGACTTCTGGGCCAGAAAACGCCCGGCAGATGCAGTGAGGTGGCCTGAGCACTGCGGGTCCTGTGGTCCCAGTGCCTCACGCGGCCAGCCCATCAGGCCTGTTCTGTCTGCCCCGAGAAGGGGCGCCAGCCTGAGTGGGTTAGGGGTCAGGAAGGGGGAGGGGCACTGTTGCTGACCTGGGCCTGGAAACCCACCAAGAGGGCTGCCGTAGGGGTGGAGTGAGGGCACTGCCAGGCTGAAAGCTGAGCCCCAGGCCCCCTCCCCACAGCTGCTAGCCAATGCTGCCATCTTCCTGTGTGGCAACCTCACTGGCGCCTTCCACAAGCACCAGATGCAGGATGCCTCCAGGGACCTCTTCACCTACGCCATGAAATGCATCCAGATCCGGAGCAAGCTGCGGGTTGAGAAGCGTCAGCAGGTGGGCTCCTCCCCTGGAGCCACTGCCTGGCCCCATCTGGCCCCCCATCCTGCTTCTAAAACCCCCTACCTCCACCCTTATCTCTACTGCCATACCCCCTACCCTGCCCCTTCCCATGCTGTCATACACCCCACTTTTACCTCCACCCTTCTACCTTACTCCCCCCAACCCCCATGCCCCCACCTCCCCACAATCCCCCACTCTCCATATATCCTTCTACCCAGCATCTCCACACTTCCCCAAATCATTCTTAGTCCCCCCTCCTACCCCATGCCTCCCATTTCCTACCACCCCCATATTTTCTACACTCCCACCCCCCAACCTCCACAGCCCCATTCCCTCCCCTCCTCCTCCTCTCTCTGGACTCTCAGACCCTATGGAGCAGAGCAGCCGTGTGTGCGTGGGGAGCATGGCCAGACACCAGGTGGTCTCATTCTAGGGGGCTGCTGGGGACATGGGAGGGCACCGGTGGCAGAGCACAGTGGAGAAGGAGGCATCATGGGCAGGGCCATGAGAGGCCAGGCCTGGGACCTGATGTCCCCCACCTGTCTCTGTGCCTGCCCCCCTGCCCCCCGCATGCCCAGGAGAACCTGCTGCTGTCCGTGCTGCCAGCCCACATCTCCATGGGCATGAAGCTGACCATCATTGAGCGGCTCAAGGAGCACCGGGACCGCCGCTACATGCCCGACAACAACTTCCACAGCCTCTACGTCAAGCGGCACCAGAACGTCAGGTGGGCGGTGGGGCGGGGCTGAGCCATGGCCCCTCCCACTCAGGGATTGGGGGTGGGCGGAGACAGGGCTCACGGTGGCTTCCCCCAGCCCCAGGTTAATCCAGGGCCTTTCCTGGGCCTCAGTTTCCAGAGGGAGTGGGATTCGATAAGGGGTCTTAAATCAGTGTATCAGATTAGTGTTGGGGGAGATCCAGGAGGCCCCAGAAATTGTAAAACTATGTGAGTATGTGTGATTTCTGGGAAAAAAGGGGCCTCAAGCTTTCAGATGAGTCTCAAAGGAGTTCCGGTAAAGACAGATTGCTACCGTCTGCTCTGACTAACCGTGTTCCATAGGGTTTTTGTTAGCTGATATTTTTGTAAGTAGATTGCCAGGCCTTTCTTCCCAGGCACCTCTGGGTGGGCTCTAACCTCCAACCTTTCAGTTTGCTGTTTGGCTTATTAAATATTTGCCCCACCTCTTGACTCCCAAAGGGGCGAGACCCTCCAAAAGGAGACCCCCCCCCCCGACCTGGTTCTGGCTGATTTGAAGGGGCTGCAGACCTTTACTATGTTAAATGTGGAGGTGGGTCCCGTGAACTGGCCTGGCTCTGATGGCTCAGCATTATGCCCAGGTGCTGGCCTCGCCACCTTCTGTCTGGGCTCTGAGGAGTCCCGGAACTTGCAGACTTTGGAATGGGAGAGCTGCCACAGATTCCCATGGGGGAAGGCCACCCAACCTTTCCGAGCCTCGTTTTTCTCATCTGTGGAATGGGCCCCTTGCAAAGGGCATGGGGGGATTGGACATGTGTGAGGTGTTGGGGTGTGGAGCTTGGCTCAAGGGAACATGGAGTCGCATCTTACCACAGGTTAGTTCTGAAGATCACACTGAAGGTGCAAACGTAGGGCTAGGAACGGAGGAGAATTTCTGTGTGGCCAGACCACACTTCCTGTAAGAGCACCATTCTGTGGTCTGCTTTGGCTGAGGGCCTGCTGGAGGCTCTAAAGGGCCCCTGTAGTCTTTGGGGTTTGCCATTCAGCTTTCACCTTGAACTTCTGGAACTTTAATTCACCTCAGTGGCTGGGAGACTTCATCTCTTCCCTGTGGAAGCTGACAGGAGGCAGGGACATTTGGGGGCTTGGAGGTGAGAGAACCCTTGTCTCAGGACTGGCAGGTGCACAGGGGCTCCACATGGCCACTCTTGCTCCCACAGCCCCATCTTCCACAGACCTGACTTTGACCTTCAACTGTCCCTTGTCCCCAGCATCCTCTATGCGGACATTGTGGGCTTCACGCAGCTGGCCAGTGATTGCTCCCCCAAGGAGCTCGTGGTGGTGCTCAATGAACTCTTTGGCAAGTTTGACCAGATCGCCAAGGTGAGTCCACCAGCCAGTGCTGCTGCCCCTTGTGGGGTACCCTTCCTTCTGCTGACCATGAAGTCGGGAGCCCATCCCATTGCATCCACTGGGGGTGGGGTGTGCCCAGCACTGAGCAGGGATCAGGACAGGGAAGCCCCAGGTAAATTTTAGTGTGCAGTCAGGAAATGCTTCCCACTGCCTCATGCGTGCTGGCCTGAGCCAGAGGGGAAGGTAAAGGCGAGCAAGGCAGCCATAGCAATCCCCCAGAACATGAGGCTGTGGGGAGACTGATGGTAACCACTGGGGGAACCAACGGGGGCTATGGGTACTCAGAGGAAGCTCTGGAAGGCTGCCTGGAGGAGGAGATGGCTCATCTACCCTATGCAAGGACAGAGCTTCAGCCATCCCTGGGAGCCTGGGAAGACCGTGGAATGCTAGGCCATACCCAGGTGAATTGTTTGCATGTTGAAGTTTGAGCAAGCCAGACCAAAACAAAAAACAAACAAAAAAAAATCAAACTCACTGCCACTGAGTCGATTCCAACTCAGAGCAACCCCCTTTGTGCAAGCCAGAAAGATGTAAAGGATCCAGAAGAATGGGAACAGCGCTAAGGCAGTGGGAACAGCATGTGCAAAAGCCCAGAGTTGAGAGAAAGCTTTGTGTCATGTAAAGAATGTGGTTCAGTGTGAGTGGGATACAGAGAGGGGGATAAAGTGGTCAGGGCCAGATGTGCAGGGATTTGAGGGCTGAGGTGAGGAGTTGGAGATTGGACTTAAGGATGCTGGGGGACAAGCAAGGTGCCAAGCAGGAGAGAGGCAAGGAGGGGGGCTCTGGGGTGCAGCTGACTGGAGAGGAGTCTGGATACCAGACAGGGCTTGGCTGAGGTCTCACTCACTGTCTGTCTTGTCTTTGTGAGTAATACTCAGCCTGGGGTGTGTGCGTGTGCACATACGTGTGTGTGTGATTGGGAGGGATACACAGTCATTTGTTAATTATCCGTATGGTCCCAAGACCTGCTGAGTGCCAGCCCCTGAAGTAGCATGGGATGTGAGGCCAGCTCTCAGATTACCCATGATCTACATGCTATGTGCCTTGAAGAGGGGTACAGGGGGCCAAGGGAACCTGGGGAATACCTAGTCCAGTGTGAGATAGTCAAGATGGGCTTCTTGGAAGAGGTGGCAGCTAAATAGAGACTGAATCACAGATCTAAGGAGAGGCCCTCTACCCTGGTTGCACATTTGAATCATGTAGGAAACTTGAATAAACACCAATGCCTGAGTCCCACACCTATCAGGGGTTTTAAGAGCCCACCAGGTGATTCTATGTGTGGAGAACCAGTGGTCAAGGACTTGGTGGGAGGCAAGTTCTGGTTCCACTCTAGGGAGAACATTTTCATGGTCAGAGCTTCTCGATCCTAGGAGAGGGATTCCTACATCAGAGGAAGGGATTCCCACCACAGCGGGTAACCAAGGTAGCAGGGTAATGAGAAAGCTTTGTGTCCGTGGAATGAAGGTAGCTCTGTGTGAGGGGACACAGAGTGGAAGGGGGATAGAGTTCCCAGGGCCTTGGCCAGGGATGCTGTGAAGAAGTGTCCTGCCCTGGGCATTGGAGGCTGTGTGGCCCACAGACCTCTCTAGACAGGAGCCTGTTTCAGGAACTCTGACTTCTCTTGAACCAGCAGGTGGGGGCCCCAAGGGCTGGCCATAGGTTGGGAGGTGGCCTGGGCCTCAGGGCACAGCTGGCCTTCCCTCTTGTCAGAAGCCCAAGGCCCTCCCCATCCCTGCAAGCCTAGGAGGAGGGGCCCCAGCGTACAGATGGGGAAAGGTGGCCAGGGCAGCGCTGCCTCCCAGCTGGAGGGTTCAGTCTCTGGGCAGAGATGGGCCAGCCTGTTCTCCCACCCGCAGTCAGACTCCAGACCTGTACCTGGAACCTCTGCTGAGAGCCCGGGCCTGTTCTCAGAGGATCCCCACTGTGTCTGGACTCAGGGACCCCCCTCCCCCGACAACAACTTCCCCAGTTTGTAACTGTCAGCTACAATAGACCTGCCTGGGCAGGGAAGCACCCTGGGAGATGCTGCCTTGGTCTCCCACAGGTCTGCCGATCCCTGATAGCCGATAGTGGCTGGGGCTGGGCCAGAGGGCAGTCCTGTGCCAGCCCGGGAATGGCTGGCACCTGAGCCTGTCCCCAGGCATCCTGGCCCTCTCCTTTCTAGGAATGCCCCTGGCCTCAGGTTCCTGCGGCTGCTCAGCACCCAGCGTGTGCCAGGCAGGCCTAGCAGGAAATACCTGGCACACACTCAAGTGGGTAGTCAGAGGAGGGTGAAGTGAGAGGACCATTCACAAAGGTGTGCACAGGCTACAAGGAGCCTCTAGGGTGCCACGCTGGGTCTGTGGTGGCTGGTCAATCCCTCAGGCCTGATGGGCATAGGGGGTAGGCCTGCCTGATGGGCCTGCCTTTAGGGACCCTTCGGTGTACCTACCCCCCACACCTCCTTCCCGCTGGTTCCCCTTGGCTGGACCCCGTGGAAACCAGAGGTCAAGACTATCTGCTGATGTGCCCACGAGGGTCAGCAGGAGTAGGGGTGGGTTGCAGGGTAAGGCAGATGCCTGGCATATTATTCTCTCTTGAGTTCCTAAAACCCACCAACAAGGCTTGGTATGTGTGGCTTTGCCCAGGGTCCCCATGGCCATGACACAATCTCAGATGGAACCTTGGACGCCCCCCCTTCCCCTCTGTGGGCATTTCTCCACATCTGCCACGTCCGATGTGACCCCCAACCTCATCCTTCTCAACTCCTCTCCCCACGCTCATCTTGCCTATCTACTCTCCTCCCAGCCCCTAAACCCTGCTCATTTTGCACTCCTGGCTGCTTAGCCATTTCTTGGGTTACTTTGACCCCCGTTGCCCATGCCCTTGGGCCTCACCCCTTCCCATTGGTCTGTCAAGGTATTTTGCCAAAGTTCCTTATCTGTCTTGCTCCCTCTGCCCTCATCTCCCCCCCACTCCACTCCAGCCTCAGGGCCTTTGCACCTGCTATTGCTTCTATCTGCAAAACTCTCCCTCCAGATACCGTGTGGCTCATGCCCTCAGTCCCTTTGGGTCTTTGCTCAGATGTCACCTTGGAGAGATTTTTTGTGGTCTCCTGGGAGCCTCTCCTCTCCCTTGTCGTCTTTTTCCTCCTTAGCACTTGCCCCACTGGGTGCTTTGGTTGGATTTATCTTGTGTAGTGGCCATCTCTCCCACCAGCACAAGGGCTCCGTGGTTGCAGGGATTTCTGTTCCCTGTCGTGTCCCCAGGTTGGGCACTCAGTAGGTGCACAAACATTGCATGGACAAATGAAACCAAGGCAGCTGCTCCCTGACAGGCATTCTTGAGAGGTGGCCACCCTTAGAAATACTTGCTTTCAGTCCTGAAGCTTGGTTGGGGGTTCCTACTGAGGAGCGCCCTGGTCCCTGGTATTTTCACAGGCCCAGCAGAAGCTCCTGATGGGTGACATCCCTGGAGGCAGCTCCTGGCTGGCAAATCGCCTGCTCGCCCTGGTAGGGGGAGGGCAGACTGTGAACTCTGTTCCCCAGGCCCCTCACTGACCCAGCCTCTTCCTGGTCCCACAGGCCAACGAGTGCATGCGGATCAAGATCCTAGGTGACTGCTACTACTGCGTGTCAGGCCTGCCCGTGTCCCTGCCCAACCACGCCCGGAACTGCGTGAAGATGGGGCTAGACATGTGTGAGGCTATTAAGTAGGTACCAGGGGCCAGGCCTGGGGGTGGGGTAGGTCCTGTCCCCATGATGGACCCCTCCTGGTCATCACCCTCATTTTACACATGAGAAAATGGAGGCTCGGGGCAAAGTGGCTTGCCTGGTTCCTGCTGGAAGGCTCGGACCCGGCATGCGTACATCCCTGCTCTGTGCCTGCCTGTGCCAGGGCTCCAAGTCCCAGAGAAGATTCTCACAGCTCAGAGCTGGGGTCTATGAGGATGGAGTAGCTGAGCTCCGTCTCCACCGTGGGCTGAGTCTTAGCAACAGCAGGAGGGGTTCAGGGGAGAGAGCAGGAGGAACTTTCAGACTCAGAGTCTGAGTCCAAGGCTCCATTCGCTTCTTGCTTCCTCTTTGAAGAACCTAGACTCAGGAGACTGACCCTTGGGACTAGGGAGCTGTAGTGGACCCTCTCAAGCCCACTATGGCTTTGACCCTGGTGGACTTGGTTTTTCCCTAGCCCTGTTGGTGGACCCGTGGTACCGGCTGCACCCTGCCCCTCACCTACTTGTCAAAGGGATTCAGGTGCTGCTTACGTTGGGGGGGGGGGTGCCTGGGGATCCTGGTATGGAGTGGCACCCTGGGGCCAGTGGCTCCAGGGCTCCCATTTTCCAGAGATAGCATATCTGAGGCCCCAAGACTGGCTCATGCCTCTTGTCTTTGCAGGGATTAGGGCAGTACCTGGCCCCTCTATAGAATCTGGCATTCTCTCCAAGCCCAGGCAGGGTGTCAGGCAGAGAAACACCTGGGGACAAGTTAGAGGCTTATCACCATGAGCTTATGTGGTCTGTGACAGGTGGCGTTCCTCCTGCCTACCCAGCCTTTGAGCTCAGGGGGTGGCCTCATCCTTTGCACACTCTTGGGGACAGGGTGCTCACCCCTTCCCGAGGAGGTCGCCTGTAAGAGTGAGAACACTTTCTCTTGTGAACTGGGCTTGCTGTGTTCTGCACCCTCGCCCACCACCTTCCTCTGCTCCTGCCGCGTGCCAGCCCACCCCCTGCCTGGAGTTCAGGGTGTGGAGTGACCAGGCCTCTCTGCTTAGGCAGGTGCGGGAGGCCACGGGTGTGGACATCAACATGCGTGTGGGCATCCACTCAGGGAACGTGCTGTGTGGGGTCATCGGGCTGCGCAAGTGGCAGTACGACGTGTGGTCCCACGATGTTTCCCTGGCCAACAGGATGGAGGCGGCTGGAGTCCCTGGGTGAGGCTTGGTGGGACAGGCTGTGGGGGACTGGAGTGGCAGTGGGTGTGGACGCAAGGGACAGTATCGGTGACCTGCAGTGGGGGAGCAGCCAGGGTCCTTGCCCTCTGTCCCTGGCTGACTTGGGTGTCCTCCAGCCGGGTGCATATCACGGAGGCGACGCTGAAGCACCTGGATGAGGCTTACGAGGTGGAGGATGGGCACGGGCAGCAGAGGGACCCCTACCTGAAGGAGATGAACATCCGCACCTACCTGGTCATTGACCCCCGGGTATGTGGGCAAGGGGGTGGGGTTGGCCGCCCTGGGCTCCAGCGTCTGGACTCCTGGGGAAGACCCCACGAAAGCTGTGTCTTCTCGCCGGGGTCGGGGGAGAGGCTGGCTGGGGCAGGAGTGAGCTCCCCGTCACTGGGTATGTGGTGGGCACCACTTCCCTGGTCTGCCCCCTTATTCTCTATGAAGCAGGCAGCCCAGCAACGCCTACCTCTCAAGGTTGAGGTGAAAGAGCTAATCCCAGTGGGATGATCTCCCGTACCTGGCCACGTCAGGAGCACTCTAAATTACAGCCACTACTTGTTTATTTTCCATGAGGTTGTTACTAATCTCCCAGATTGTTAAGACACATTTTTAAAACACTTTTTGGAGAAAGACTAGGAATGCATGGAATGGCAGAGGGCCACTGGACAGGGACCTCCAGGTGCCCTGGACTCTGCTGGCGTCGACTGCCTTCCCCATTCCTTCAGGGCTGTTCCTGCCTTCCCAGGCTCAGGTGGGGTCAGCCAGGGTGGGTCCGCCCCGCTGCCCCTCCGCACAGGCCGCTCTTTCCTGCCTGAGGGAGGCCAGCTTGTCTGGCGGCTATGAGGTGAATCATCCTTGGTGTGTGATCAGGAATGTCGGGGGCGGTGAGATCTTTCCAGCTTCCTCAGCTGCTTGCCTGAGCCTTAGGGCTGGCCCAACAGCAGTCACGGGGCAGTAAGGGCCGGCCTGGGGGAGCCTCGTGGGGGCCTCTGCGCCCCCACCCCGTTTCCCTGTGGGTTCCCCAGCGGTAGAGTCTCCCAGGGTGCTGGTGTCCCATGCGATCCTGAGTTGTCACCCAGGAAAGCCCCTTCTGGTACCTCAGTCCTGCTTAGACCCCACTTCTCTTAAAATAAAACTCAAGTGCGTCCACTCTCCTCCACTCCCCCTACTTGTTATCTCCCCCTCCCCCAGCTGTCCCTCCGCTGCCAGGCTCTTTCCCACCTCTAGGCCTTTCCCAGTGCTGGCCCCTCTGCCCAGAGCCCTCTTCCCTCTGTCCCGACATTCTTGTTTATTCTTTTTCACTTGTTCATTGTCAATGTGAGCTCCACTCTGCAGCCTGGAGGATCCCTTTTCCTTGCCAGGCTGCCACTGTGCCCCCACCCCCAACACGATGCCAGCAAGGATCGGACATGAGTGAACGGTCATTGGTAAATGAATGAAGCAGAACCCCTAACTCCCAGGGTAGTGGGAGGCATGGCCCTAAAACCTACTCCCTGCAGGGCTGCTGGGTTTAGCAAATGGAGATACAGAACACCCGTTACGTTTGGAGTTCAGGTAAATGATGAGGAATTTCTTCGTGGGCGTATCTCTCACAGTGTTTACCTGGCCACCCCGCCCCCTTAGCTTCACTATATTTCTTCTTGAGCAGGTGATTCACTCCCATGGGTGAAAATCCAGAAGGTGTGTAGTAAAGCACACTTGTCCCTTCCTGCGCTGTTAGCTGAGTTGAGTTGACCCCCAGCTCATGTATGTCGGAGCAAAACACTACCCATCTTGCACCATCCCCGTGGTCAGTTGCAGATTGGACCACGTGATCCATAGGGCTTTCATTGGCTGATGTTTTCCTCATCCATCTTAGTCTGGAAGGTCCACTGAGACCTGTTCAGTATCATAACAACTGACAGATGGGTGGTGGCTGCGTGAGGTGCCTTAGCTGGGAATCAAACCCAGGTCTCCCGCCTGGCAGGCGAGAAGTCTACCACTGAACGAACCATCAGCACCCCCATCTAAGCAGCGTGTTGTTAGTTGCTGTCCAGTTGATGTGGACTCATGGAAACCCTATGTGTGGAGAGGAAAACTGCTCCATAGATTTCCAAGGCTGTGACCGTTTGGAAGCGGGTCAGCAGTCTTGTTCTCCGAGGCACCTCTGGGTGGGTTCGGGCCTCTACCCTTTTGGCTAGTAGTTGAGTGCTTAGCACACTCAGGGACTGCTCCCACCAGCGTAGCTCGGCGTTGTGGGGTTCCTGTGGTTCCTTGCGCTGAGATCTTCACTCACGTAGGAGCAGATCGCCTGGTTTCTCTTCCTTGTTAAGCTGAGGGTGGTGGCTGTGTTCATGGCCCGTCATCCATGCCTCGCTTCACCTAACTGTGCACTTTGGAAGCCTTCCCCTACCACACACAGAGCTGGCCCTTGTTCTTCCCATGACTCTGTGGTGTTCCAGAAGCTTCTCAAGTGCTGTCGGTGGACATCGGGATAATTCCTCTCCTCTGGCTCCTGCAACCTCTGACTCATGCGTTTCTTCGGTTCTTCGTATCTGAGGGCAGTAAATGCCCAAAGGTGTCTGGCTGGGTCAGGGTGAGACTTCGGGTGGAGGGCGCTGGCAGGTACCCTCTGTGGGGTCATAGGAGTCACACATCCACTCTGAACAGGACCCAATGGCTTTTCTTTGGAGCACAGTGTCTTCCTGGGAGCTGGATGTCTGGCTTCCCTGCCCTAAGAGAGCAGTGCCAGTGACCATGAATTTGAGCTCTGGTTGCGTAGTACCTAAGGCATCTGACTGCTAACCAGAGGGCTGGCAGTTCAGACCCACCAGCCATTCCTCAGAAGGAAGATTGGGCAATCTACTTCTACTGTAGAGATACCGCCTCAGAAGCCAAGGGGAGCTGAATCATCTCACGGCAGTGAGTTTGGTTTGGTTTAGTTTATGTGCTCTGTGAGCAGAGTTGCCAACAATGGAGGTGGAGACTGAGAAATTTAAAACTTCCCCCTTTTCTCCCTAGTCACCACCAGGCTGCTCACAGCAGGGCATGGCCATTGCCAGGACTCTGGTTGTTCACAGAGGCCAAACTCCCTACACTGTTGCCTCTGGCTAGGGAAACAGACTGGGCTAGGGGTTAAATACGTTCCCATCCCAAAAGGCTGAAGTTTCCAGGAACATTGCTGCTTATGGCTTAGTGAGAGTTGTGGCTGTAGGTGCTTGTGGAGTCCTGAGGAGACAGGGAGCGTTTGGGGGCAAGTTGGGGGGTTCACTGACCTTGACATGGCCCAGGTTTGTCTCTGGCGGCCTCAGGCTCCTTTCTCGTTCCTCCCTCTTTTCCAGGCCTGCCAGCTGCCTGGCTGGTAAGGGCCCTGGTGGGCAGTTCTCGGGGGGTTTGGGCTCTGGTGCTCATGGAGGAGGCAGAGTTGGGCCTGCAGGTCTGTGCAGGTATGTGCCTTGGCCCCCCCATTTGGGGCCTGGCTAAGCCCCGTGGCCCTGGCTGTGGCAGGTTCATGTGGGCTGGCCAGCAGCCCTGATGGGCCTGTGCTGTGGCTCAGTGGCCACCCAGGTGGAGCTCCCTGGAAGGCTGCCAGGGGTGGGGCCAGCAGCTGGCAAGCGCTCTTTCCTCCTGGGGTTCCCCACAGGGAGGAGAGGCCTGGGGTACTGATGTCCTACACGTGGGGGGTGGGGGCGTGCCTGAGACCTGAACCCGATTGGTCTGAGGGAGCTGTGCACAGCTGAGCGTCCCGTGGTGGGTCAGGGACAGGTACTGAGCAAAACCTCCTGACAGTGCAGCCGAAGACGTGCCCGGCCTCAGCGTGCCCTGAAGGGCAGCCCATTTCTCCAGGGGGCCTGAAACTTCAGCCTTGTGCCTTTTTCCCTTTGGGTTGGAATTGTTGCTCTAAGCAGTGTTGTGTTTTGGGAGGGCAGGAGGGAGCGGTGACCCTTCCTGCGGAGGGAGGGGGTGAGAAGGGCTGAGTCTCTGTCTGCCACAGAGCCAGCAGCCGCCCTCGCCCAGCCAGCACCTCTCCAGGCCCAAGGGGGACGCAACCCTGAAGATGCGGGCTTCAGTGCGGATGACCCGCTACCTGGAGTCCTGGGGTGCCGCCCGGCCCTTTGCGCATCTCAACCACCGCGAGAGTGTGAGCAGTGAGACCCCCATCCCCAATGGCCGGAGGCCCAGGGTAAGCCCCTTGCCAGCTCGATTTGTGTGTGTGTATGTGTGTGGGGGGGAGGGGCCTGGCAGGAGGACTTGTACTGATAGGGTTCTTTTTTGAAACTTTTTATTGTGATTTGGGTGAAAGTTTACAGAGCAAATTCATTTTCCATACAGCAGTTCACATACACTTTGCTTCATGACATTGACTGCAGTCTCCCACAATGCAACAGTTCTTTTCCCACTTCCTCCCCATTGTTAACTCTTCTCTGTGTCCTTCTCTCCCACACACTCCTGCCCCCCTGAGCTGTCTCCCTGTGCATACACAGCCCTTCTATTCTCTCATGATCGATCTCTCCAAGGAGAGTGTATCTCAAAAACCAAAAACCAAAAACCAAACTCACTGCTGAATGGCATCTTTTTGAGCCTCACTTTCTGTACCTGTAGAATGGTAAGTCTCTGCCCTGGGGCTGCTGGGGAAGGGAAGCATTTGGAGGCTGTTCTGTGTGGTCAGGAACGCGTCCTGGCCTCTTCGTGGCCTGACCTGGCCTGAGTCTAGATTGAGTTCCGGATGCCTGTAGCTTGGGCAAGCCCACCACTCTGCCTCTGTGGATCTGAATTTGCTGGGGATGACACACCCGGCCGGGCAGCAGGCCGTGGGCCAGGCTTCTGGAGGATAAGGTCTCGGCCATCGTCTCCTCCTTCTTTCCCTTCTAGGCCATTCCGCTGCGGCGGCACCGGACCCCAGACAGGTACACGGCTTGTCCCCTCCCTCTGCCAAGCTCTGCCCTGCCTTCCTGGCCAAATCCTTCCCTGAATTTCCCTCTGAGCAGGCTGCCCTGACCAGCCTCTCCTGCATGAGGGCCAGCCTGGGTCCTCTGGAGGGGTTGCTGTGGTCCAGGCCAAAGGGTTTCTAGGAACTGGAAGTCCCTGGCCTGGGGCTCTTCTGCATGGCTGTGATCAGTCATTGAGGGCCTGTTGTGTACTCACCCTGTGGGGGGTCAGTAGGGCTGGTGTAATCTGGTCTCAATGCCAATCCTGTGGGTGGAGTAGAAGGGGCCTTGGATGGGGGTCAGGGTCTGTCCTCTGTTTCCTGCTGGGCCAGTGGGTAGGTTTGGGCCTGTGCCACCTGCCTTCTCTGGGCCTCAGTGGGGACCCCCCCGCCCAGCTGTCCTGCGTGAGGTTCTGTGGCTTCCACAGGTCCCAGGGGCCCCATTTGGGTGAATCCTCTCTCCCACACCCCTGCTGCTGGGCTGTGGACCTGGGGCCCTGGGGGTGACGCAGGTGGGGGTGTCTGCTCGCAGGAGTGCATCACCCAAGGGGCGGTCAGAGGACGACTCCTACAATGAGATGCTTTCGGCCATCGAGGGCCTCAGCTCCACGAGGTGAGGGCCCCAGACCGCACCCCCTAAATGAGGTCCCTCCTATGGCCAGGCCCAGCATGTGCCCTCGTGTCTGGCCTAGCCCCAGCTGTGGCGCCAGGCAGCTCCTCCACATCCCTTGATGCTGCAGCTAGCGAGGGTAGCCTGATGCCGCCGACCTCCCAGGCCCACCCTCACTCCTGGTGCTGCCACCCCCAGGCCCTGCTTCTCCAAGTCAGATGATTTCTATACCTGCACCTGTGTGTCCATCTTCCTGGAGAAGGGCTTTGAGCGAGAGGTGAGGATCCTGGGGCAGCCCCCAGAGGGATGGGGTTCTAAGGGCTGGGCCGAGGTGGGCGTGCAGTCTGTGGGACAGCCAATACTCCCACCACTCCCAAAAGCTCCTCAGAGGGAGGGGTGATACTCTCTACAGCTAGGGGGTAGGTTGGCTTACCTTCTCTTCCTGTGGAACAACCCCACCCAGAAAGACCCCCTCCCCCCCGGTTGATAAGTCACCATGAGGGATCTGAAGGCTTTTGATGCTACCAAAAGCCAGAACCACAGCTGGTCAGGGCTCTGAACAATTTAGGCTGACAGGATTGGCCCTATAATGAAAAAAACCCCAACAACAACACCCAAAGCACAGTATCTGTGTTGGACAGGACCTGATCAGACGGCATGGCTTTTGTGACCGTTTCTCTATTGAGCTGGGTGGTAGTGTCCTAAGCATATGTGTTATGCAGTCTAACCTTCACAATAATTAGATAAAGCGGGTGCTGGCATCCTCATTTCACAGACAGGAAGCTTATTGTGGATTTGAGGGGTGTAAATGCCCGGCCGAGAGCAGAGCCCATAGAGCCCGAGGAGGCCGTTGTGGGCCCATGGGGCTCTAGTGCTAGGACCTGGCTCCCTCCTGGTAGCCTGAGGCATGGTGACTGTCCATCTCCAGGATTGGAGGGGGCCTGCCCTTGCTGGGGCTCCCTGAGCTGGGGGTTCCCTGGTGAGGAGCTTGGTGTCTTGGAGTCTCGAGGCAGGTGTGGTGGTGGTGTGTGTGCTATTGATCAGGACTCTAGGACAGTGTAGAGTGGTCTCCATAGGGTTTCCAAGGCTGTAATCCTCATGGAAGCAGACTGCCCCATCTTTCTCCGCTGGAGCGGTTGGTTGGCTAAAACCTCCATCCTTTAAACAAGCGCTTAACCACTGCCCAGCAGGGCTTCTTGGAGGCAGGTGTGGCCACTGTGAAACCTGCCTGGCAGGTCTTCTGCTGGCTGTGTGACTCTGGGCAGTCTGCCAAGCTCTCTGAGCCTTGGTTTTCCCATCTGTATCCGAGCCTCCTGGGCTGTCCTTGTGAGATAACTGGTGTGAAGGGGAAGCTCAGGCTCTTCCCTACCCATCAGCTGGGGCTCAGGCCTTCGATTGGGGTGGGGAACCCACCAGCCACTCCTTGGAAGGAAGGTTGGGCAATCTACTTCCATAGTGACCCTGCCTTGGAAACCCAAGGAGGGGTCGCTATGGGTCGGCTTTGACTCGACGGCACCTAACAGCAAGAAGACCCCCACCTGCTCCACTCTCAGCAGCCCTGAGAACTCAGACTGTGCTCCTGCCCACCTCTTGCTCTAGGCTCGGGGCTTGGGATTTTTTCAGGGACCTCTGAAATAAAGTTGAAGACCTGGGTGGGGCGAGGGAGGGTGGGTGTTAATTCTAAATACAAAATGGACGAGATGGGAGGGAATGGGAGTTATTAAACATAACACCATCATGTGGAAGTCCAGGAGGGATGGGAGATTCTTTTTAAGGGGCTTGGCTGGTGGGGCGGCCTGCAAAGGCCTGGGGCAAGTGGCCCTGCAGGTCGGGGTGCGCTGCCCAGGTGGCTGCATCTCGCCCCCTCTGTTGACCCCAGTACCGCTTGGCGCCCATTCCCCGGGCCCGCTACTACTTTGCCTGTGCCACCCTCATCTTCTTCTGCATCCTGCTCATCCACGTCCTGCTGATGCCCAGGTCAGTTGGGGTGGGGACTGTCCGGCTCTGAGGGGAGGTTGCAGAACCTGCCCAAAAACCTACAGGGAGCTGCCTCATCAGACTGGAAAGGCCAGCCATTAGGATTCAGTCACTGGCTCCTTAGGATCCTAGAAACTGTGGACCAGGGCTGGAATCACCTGGAGTTACCAACACGTGTTTGTTTTAATTGAACTTGCTTGCTCTATGGATCCAGCTGGCAGGGCTCACGCTCCCTAAATGTCTCTCGCCTTCTGAAGTCATCTGTTTTCTGCCTGGCCTCTATAGGCATTTCAGTTTGTGACCCTGCCTCAGGTGCTTGTAGTCCTAGGGCTGGAGGCTCTGCCTTATCCCCCATCGGCTCTCTCTTACATGTGGGGAAGAGTTGAGACTCGGGGGTTAAAAACATATCCCAAGTAGTACAGCCAATACCTCAGGAGCCAGGCTTTTTGGCTCAAGGGCCCTGCTGGTGGGGGTGGGGCTGAGGGTAAGGTCGGAGGGCGGAGGGAGGAAGGCTGGCAACTTGGTATTGCTGGAAGGGATGGACCCGGATTGTGGTTTAGGGTATGCTTACTAAAGGCAAAGCAAGGAGCGCTTTTATATGGCTCTTACCACGTGCAGACAGCAGTGTGGCCACTGCACAGCTATTCCTCCTTTATTTTTTTTCATGGTGGGGGGCTGGCGGGAGGGTGAGGGAGCGGTCACGCTGCGGGAGAGGAAGCCCAGCCCCCACCCCGCACCAACACCCGTGTACCCCCGCGGGGGCTGGACCTTCCCGTGGGGGTGGACGCCGGGGAGCAGGGATAGCGCGGTGACGGTCACTGGGTCATTCTCCCTCGGCCCCGGATTCAGAGAGCGCGCTGCGGAGGGTTGTAACTCGAGGCGTGCGTAGCATGTAGTATTCCTTATTTCTTACATACTTGGTTCCTAACGGGGAAATGGGGTGTTGCCATGATCGGTGAGCCTTGGCTAGGAGTACTGGTGGGGTAGGTGGGCCCTGGTTTTCAAAGGTCCCCTTTTCTGAGTGTAGAATGGCAGTTGGGAGAGGGGCAGAAAGTGCTTTGTGAGCCAGACGCGGAGTGGGCAGCCTTCTTGTGGCCCAGTCTCAGGCAGTGGGCATCCCAGGACCTGGTGTTCCTTCTCCGCTGCAGGATGGCGGCTCTGAGTGTATCCTTTGGGCTGGTGGCCTGCGCGCTGGGCCTGGTGCTCGCCCTGTGCTTTGCGGATGAGTTTCTGGTGAGTGGAGAGGCTCCGGGAGGGATCGCTGAC